TTCGTTTACGTTTACTTCGTCTCACTCTCTATATCCAACAAAAAGTCAGAGACTTTTTTTTATTCATCTAGTTCGGGATCTACTGTCATTCACTCTGGTACTTCCTCCGCTATTCTTTTAATACCCCTCCTCAACGACTACTACATCGATCATATCGGTTCAGACAGCAGCGCTGGTCTCAGACTCAACGACGATTCATATAACAGAAAGAGACGCAAGGACAAACGAAGGAGAACTCCGTCACCATCATCACCCTACCTCACCAACATGCCTTTCACCATGAAGACCGCTCTCGTCGCCGCCCTGGCCGCCGTTGCCACCGCCTTCCCCGCCGCGCCCAGGCTCAACGCCGAGCAGATGAAGCTGTACCATCTCGCCAAGCGACAGAACGCCGATGCGCAACAGGGAGGCCTGACAGATATTGACATTCTGCAATTGTGAGCCCTCCTGACTGGGTCCCCCTGACTTTGCGTCACCCACGTTATAGAATCATCAGCTGACCAAACGCAGCGCCCTGACGCTTGAGTGGCTTGAGGGTACCTTCTACCAGCAAGGCTTCGCCCAGTTCCCGCCCGAGCAGTTCGCCGCTCTTGGCCTGAACGCGAAGCAAGTCGATGACCTGACGCAGGTCGGCGCCACCGAGTTTTCCCACGTCACCCTACTGCAGTCGGCCATTGCTCAGGCCGGTACCCAGCCCGTGCAGCCGTGCCAGTACAACTTTGGCTTCACCGACGCCGCCGGCATGGTCGCCACGGCCGCCGTCCTAGAGAACGTTGGTGTCTCGGCCTACCTCGGCGCCGCGCCCCTCGTTGCGGACAAGTCCATCCTCGCCACCGCCGGCAGCATCCTGACGGTTGAAGCTCGCCACCAGACCTTTATCCGTGCCGCGTCCCAGCAGGTCGCCATCCCCCAGGGTTTCGATACACCCCTCGGCCCCCGCGCCGTCTTCTCCCTCGCCGCTCCCTTCATCACCTCGTGCCCCGAGGGCTCAAACCTCGCCATCCAGGCCTTCCCCGCTCTGAAGATGACGTCCCCTGCCGCGCCCGCTGCCGTCGCCATTGGCTCCACCATTCAGCTCCAGGCCGACACAACGGCCCAGGCGGCCGCCTGCGGTTTCACCTCGGGCGGAATCTCTCCAGGCGGCACCGCCTTTCACCGCCTTCAACCCCCAGACGGGCTGCGAGGTGCCCCAGGGTTTGGCCGGTGTGACCTACGTGACGCTCACCAGCTCTGCCCCCATCAACGGCGCCTTGACCGACGACATCACCCTGGCTGGCCCCATGGTGTTGACCATCTCCTAGTCGGTCTCGGCACTAGGACGGCGGATCGGGTGGCTGGAGAGTAGAGAACATATAAAGGATGTACTTCTCATGAGAGGAAAGAAATAGAGGGACCTAATACGTTCGAAGATAGTCCAAGCCAGCTCGACAAAAAATCTCGTCCACTCTATTCCTCTTCCTCTCCGTCGACCTCTTTTCTCCTCTCTCGCCACCTCACGCCGGACTATAAGGGCGGGCGTGTTATTTCTATTCTTCACTTACAGGCCGGGGAAGACCGGCTTCGAAAAAGGGGTCACCTCTAATCTCCGCACGGCACGGGGACCCTCATTCTCCTTTCCCTTTTCTTTAACACTTGTCAAGAAAGTTTCTCTTTATTGTTGCAAATACCTACAGAGCACGCAAGAAGGTGCCCTTGCATGGCAGTGGTCGTAGTCGGGGTGCAGTTGGGGGGGAATAGGGGCGATGTCTCATGATACCATTTTGTCTTGACAATAGAATCCATGCGGAAGAAAAATTCAATTACGGTGGACTACCACAATCTTTCGTGCTCAACTGCTGTTTCGTGAGTCTTGACGGAAGGAAATTGGTAGCTCCACCAAATTGGCACTCGCAACGCAGCCTACGTCTCATCGGCGACGTTGATTCCATCAAGCAGATGATCACTGGCGGCGTCTCCGCCATCAATACTGCCTTCGTGTCCTTCTCGTGGCCTCTTGCCTCGTCTTCTAGGATCTCTTGCCCGAATGTAGCGCAACTTAGTATCAACCCACATCAGACTTTTCTTTTAGCGACCCAAAAAGCCCACAAATGTGAGGCACGCAAACAAATCAATGCGTGTTTCATGTGCGTTTTTACGAGGACCAAACCAGCCCGATGAATAATTCACGAGTGCGAGCATTCGTTTGAAGCTGACAATGGCCATGAAACCAGTTCCCGTCTTGACCGTAGATGACCCATGAAAACCAGAGCATGTCGCGCAATTCCCCATCTTCTGACGTCTCGAATAGCGAACATAGCTAACGACGACCTATTCTGCCTGTCTCTGGGTTCAGCAGACCCTCACCGCCCTCAGCTTACACAGATCGAGCGAGTTGCCTCTGCCCGTGCAAAGGCTTCACCCCGACACTCCTTGTCTCCCTTGCGAAGTACGCCTCGAACAGGCGGTCATCCCGCTCAAACGTCTGCGTCCCCACAGTCCACAGGCCGGCCATCAGTTCGTCCGCGTGCGTGTGGCCGAAGACAATGGCGCAGACGGAGCCGGCGCAGCGCGCCGCCGGCTCGGCTGCGAGCTTGGCGATCGGCCGGTTCGAGTCCTGGTGCATCTGCCGCCGGTAGAGGTGGTAGTCGAGCTTGTGGTAAAATTCTGCGATGAGCGTCAGGATCCGCAGGGTTGCCGGGCGCATTGTAGAAATCGAGTAGCTGCT